GGTTGTCTTCCTACAAAAGTATTTGGAGATGATGTCGACGATATATTAGAGGATGATATTCGATCGTCCGCGGAGGATGGATTTGATGATGGTGACGGTGTGGTCGAAAGAGATGCAGATTGTTCACTGGGCCATTTAAGAGTCACTATCTCCTCTGCGGGTATAAAATACGAAGGATACGGGTAAATTGGTGCTGGTACCTCTACACCCATCGTCTTTTATCAAAAATATATTATATATATATATATATAAAGAAGTATAACAAAAAAATTTTTTTTGTTATTAAAAATGATTTTTATTATTATTATTATTATTATTAAAGAATCATTTTAATTAAATATCCCACAAACAAAATTTTATAAAGAAACTGTGTATTTATAAATTATTTTTGGTGGTTATTGCTTGGGCATTGTGTGTTAATCGTTATGTTATTTGTTAATCGTTTGTTAATCGATATTTGTTGATATGCTGTTAATCGTTAAATGTGACCGTTACGTGTTAATCATTAATAAGCAACACATCAAAATTAACACTATTTCATTATCTTCGATCTTGCAAGGTTATCATGCGCAGTGTTTTTTTTTTTCCTTTTTTTTTTTTTTTTTTTTTTTTGCGTAGACATCGTATGATATTAAGAAAAGAAAAAGCGATAAACATCAAACGATAAGCAAAAAAAAGGGTTGAAACGTTTTTTTTTTTGTTTTCGACAATTGGTTTGGTAACGTCACACTGAATAAAATAATGAATAATTAAGCATGGTTGTATGTGATAAAGAAACGATTCAAATCACCAAGCAAAAAAAAAAAAAAAAAAAAAAAGAAAAAAAAAAAAAAGAAAAAAAAAAAAAAAAAAAAAAAAAAAAAAAAAAAAAAAAAAAAAAAAAAAAAAAAAAAAAAAAAAAAAAAAAAAAAGAATAAAAAAAAAAGAATAAAAAAAAAAGAATAAATAAAAAAAGAATAAATAAATAAAAAAAGAAAAAAAATAAAAAAGCACAATAAGTTAATTGAAAATTAACTAGATTTGTAAATACAAAGGTGAAAAATCTAGTGAATTGAACCAACCAATGTATTTATATCAAGGAAGAGTAAAGAATTATCGTGGGGTCAATTTTGAAAAAATGTTGCTCCCATTTAATATAAAAATGGTATGTCATTGTATGCATATAGTATAACACTGATGCTAAAATTCAAAAAAAAGTTTGATCAAAATTTTCAAATCTAATTTCTCTCTTATGTCTTCAAAAAAAATTAGTCTTACTAATGACTAGCGCAAAAGAATTTGCTTATAAAAGCAAAATAATCCAAACCTCACACAAGAACAACTCGCAAAATGGGCCAAGAAAAATTTTGGTCTTGATAATGCTCCCAACCAAATGATACTTTTATGAATTCTCACAAATAAAGATGAATATCTTAAAATGGATGATGAAAGAGATCTTAGAGTCAAATGCTAGTAAACTATGCTCTAACTACAGTTAGATGAAGTGTTAACTAATTGGGTCTTACAATACTAGGCCAGAAGGATTCATTTAACTGGGAAGTTGATATGTGAAAAAGAACAAAAATTTGCGTACAACTAGATCTTGATCCTCAAGATCATAACACACCTGATTTTTCGGTTAGTTGGCTGCTCTCATTTGAGCAATGTTATGGCTTTAAAATGCACAGGATACATAGTGAAAGTAGATTGGCTAACAATGAAGCTATTGAAAAAAATATACCTGAACTTTGTACAATTATTAAAGAGTATACTGCAAGAGATGTTTACAATATGAACAAGACTGGTCTATTTTACAGGATAGTGCCAGATAAAACAATTTCAAAAAAGCAAATCGAAGAGAGCAAAAAGGATAAAACACATTTTACTATCACCCTTATCTCTAATGCAGATGAGTTTTATATATTGGAACCTTTTTTATTGACCACTCAAAAAAACCAAGATCATTTAAAGGTAAAAATAACAAATGATTTAAAACATTCTGTTTTAAATAACAGAAGCAACTGTTCAAATTCTTAGAGGATTCTGATATGATTACACGATCGATAAATAATTTTTTTTGTATATTTTACAATACTTCTTTTAAAAGCTCGTATAGTTTATTTTTTTATGAAATGAGAATAAATTTAACTGATAAATTAGTGTTTTTGCTTTATCTTATAACATACTTTTTGAATCTCTATGAATCTCAACTTTTTTTGCAATTTTACTGGCTAATTTGATAAAATTTGAGATGCAATTGGTTGACAATTACGTGTAATTATATTGATGAATTTGAACAGTTGCTCCTGTTGTTTTAAATCAATTTTATTAAAAAGCAATTTTTTACTATTCTTATTTAAATGTAAAACTGGAAAGCAATATGGATTTTATTATCGCAATAATATAGATGACTGGACTTCTTTTTAGAGAATAGATTGTAAAATTTAATTGCATGATACAAGAAGCAGATCAACACATTCTTCTTCTTATTGATAGTACAACCTCATATACAGTTGGTGATGCTGATCTTACTAATATAAAGGTTGTTATCCTACCTTCAAGAACAATATCAAAATTTCAACCAATAGACTCAAGCATTATTGCTGCCTTCAAACACCATTACTGTTGTTTTTGTTGCAACATGCTCTTGAACATGATGAGGCTAGGGAATTCGATATATATAAAGTTAAACAACTAAAAGCCATGCAATAGTGTGTTTGAGCCTGGTATTCAATTTCTCCAGATAATATCGCAAACTGTTTCTGCTATACTGGCCTGTTTGATTATGAGATTTCTCCCACTATACGTGAAGTTTATTCAAATAATGAAGATTCATCTGTTATTGCAGATTTAGAAGAGTCACTGAGATTATTGTCATCTTGCCACCTTATAAGCCTTGCCCATTATACAAACCCAAAAGAAGAGATGGATATGATGTATGTATTAAGAGTTCACGGATGCTGACTTGCTAGAATTAGCAACCCCAGAAAATAATAGTAGTGCTGATGAACTAAATGATATTACCTCTTTCACAAATCAAGCCAAACTCAACTCTCTTCATATTGTGATCAGTCTTCTTGATACAACTATTACTGATTACAATATCACACTCCAAATATTGCATTCATTATAGCAAGAAATTCACTTTCAAGTTTCATCTTCAAAGGTTTAAACAACAATAGATTCTTTTATGCAAAAAAAATAGCATATCTAGAGATAGCCAAGTTAGTTAAGGCTTGGTTAGGGTTCTAAAACCTTTAGATTCCAAATTAAAAATTTAAGAATCAGGTTTTTGTATAATAAGTTTTAAACCAAAATTTGGTTTAAACCCAATTTTTAAAATCTATTTTTAGTTTTTTGTTAAGCATAAAAATATATGAATAGTGCTTCTAGGTCTGGTTCAGGTCTGGTCTAGTCCGGGTTCGGTCTGGAATTGAACCAGACTCAAATTCTGAATTTGACTAGTTTTGAACTTCAGACCAAACTCAAACTTAATTATAAGTCTGGTCCGGGTCTGGTCTGAAGTTTGTGAACATGTCTAGTCCAGGTTTGATATGTTTTTTTGTGGCTTAGCTATTATATGCGCAGATTTCTGTTAAGCTAAGATTGAACCTTGTATAAAATTTATGCTCCAGGGTACCACCTATCTTATTTTATTTATTTGCACAGATAATTTAAACCAAAAAAAGAAATCTGATTTTAAATATATGAGATAAAAATTTAGTGTTAAGGCCTTAACGTTAGAGGCTATAGAGTTAAAGTGAGATATACTTTATATAAAATTTTATTTTTGTTGTTTTCAATTAGTGCACCAAGATCGATTTAAGCATTAGTTTTTGTGTATTTTTGCTCTTTTCTTCTTTTACATGTGTTCGGATTCTTCATCAGGCTGATCGGAATACTCAAAATTTACACTCTTCTATTGACTATTTCTTCTCCAAGAGTTTGTATTATTTGTACAAATAAGTAGATACTAGGTCACCTGCTTACAAGATTATTACTGGTCATAAACTGGGTCATTTTAATTAGCCGAGTAACCCAGTTGACCCAGTTGACCCAATTGTAACTTTAATTATGATATAATTAGTAATTACAGCTATTACAACTGTTTTTATAAATTTTGAACCACTTATAAAACTTGCTGAATGATTTTTTGCTGATCTGATCGATACATAATGATAAATTACAATTTATATTACATTATATACTTATATTGTAATTTGGAATATACTGTATATATTTTCACACAGACTAAATATTACTGGTTGAAATTTTTTAATATAAAAGGCTGATATTTGGAGGATAGCTAGGTGAAACATCTAAAAACAAACATTCGAATATCATATAGATTATATAAATATAAATAATATAATCAATGAAATATTGGCTTAAAATCATAGGAAGATATAAAGATATTATATTAAAATTTAAAATTTATCTAAAAAAAAGAC